AAGCAATTCTCCTGCCTCCGCCTCCCAAGTAGCTGGGACTACAGGTGGCCGCCACAACACCTGGTTATTTTTTGGTTGCAGCCGTCATTGTTGTTTGGCGGGCCTGGGCTGGATTCGAACCTGCCAGTTCAGGTGTATGTGTCTGGCACCTTAGCCGCTTGAGCCACTGATGTTGAGCTGAAAGTTTTCTTTTTTCCTGTGGGCCCTAGGCACTGTGCCTGTTGACTAGGCCAGCTGGGGAAGGGAAACCTGGTAGTGACCAGGATAGAGCAGGGTTCAGTTGCAGGCCCAGGTTAGGGATGGCAGGAGAGGGAGTTCAGGGAGCCTCCCTGCAGAGCTGAGACTGCTGCCCCCAGGAGAAGGGCAGAAAGAAAGATAGGACACAAATGCCTCCTGCGAGCAGGTCCCTGTGGCCACCTGCACCAAGGTATCAAGCTTATGGTTCATTTTGCAGAAAAAAATACTGATTCCTTCCCACTTACTTGGCCTCATAGATCCTGGCACTGGGCAAGGGAAACCAAAATGCTTTTGAAACTATGTGCTCTGTATACCTGTCGGGGGGCGGGGACAGCAGGATGGTCTCCTTTATCCAGGGTGCTTCCTTCTTAGCCCCCCTTCTCTGACTCTGAAAGGGCTGGACGTGAGAGCCCCAGCTTTTTCCTCTCTAAGCTCTCTAAACTTCAACTTTACAAATTTCACCCAGACTCAGTCGTATTTTCAGTATTTTATAAATGAGAAAGTGAATAAAGACAATTAGACATTTGGCAGTGTTTAAAAACAAGGCTGTGCTTTATTACCACAACTACATCCAGGAACATTTAGACACTAGAGTCACATTTTATGTTCAGACCACAGAGAGGGTTTGAGGTGCGTCTAGAGCTTGTACCTCTTGGGACAGTTTTGTGACCTCAGCTCCAGACCAGGACATGATGGCGAGCCCTGAATCCTGAATATTTCCTAAGACTTTTCAAGTCACTCTTTTAATTGATAGCTGATGTTGTTAATTGATGACTCCGCAGAATAGTTATAAGCTTTTACCCAAGGGATAGAGCACCTTTAACAATCACCCTTTGCAAGCCCTCAGCCCCCATTGAGAACCTGGCCCACAGAGCCAGCCCATGTGGGGCAGAGGATTGCTGTGTGTGAGACTCTGCCCCTGGCCCTGCACTGAGTGTGTTGAGCGGGAGATGAGACCTCTCCAACGTGCACCTCTGGGCTAGGGAGTCTCAAACTTAGGCTACATTAGTGTTGGGGGGAACATTGTAGAGTTGTGGAACCCTGAGCCCCCGAGGAGGTGACAATCCATGGGGACTAGAAGTGACCCTCAGCAAACACTGCAGCAAGAGGAATGTGCAGTGTACTGAGAAGTAAAAGGGAGTGACTTGTAAGTAGACAAGCCAGCAATGATGAATGGAAGTTCAAGTGCAGACAGGATTTAGACCCAATGGGTTTCACTTGTGGGACGCTTCTCAGAGAGAGTTTTGGGTTGAGGAGGGTCACGGCATCTTTATATTGAGGAAAGTAGAGACCCAGGGAAGTGGAGGGATTTACTTCTATATGGAGATCAGAAAGCAGGTGTCTTCACAATCAAAGGGTCCTAAGAAGGTGGCTGGCAGCAGAAGTGTGTGTGTGTGTGTGTTTACGTGTGTTGTAGGCAGATTCTGGCCACAGTCACCCAGCGGTTCTATTTGACCTTCAGAGGTAAGGCATCTGTTAACCTAAGCGAGATCCTCCAACTTACTCATGTCTGTGAAACCATCACCAGGGCCTGGGTTCACTCAAACAGAAAGGGCCTTGAGATTTTAGGCCACAAGTAAATATTATAGTATCGTTTCCTAAAGAGCAACAATAATTAGTTAAGGCAGGAAGTCGCACAGGTGATTAGAATAGACCCTTGACGAGTGAAAACAGCCCCAGTCAATGGCACGGTCGCTGGGTATTTGTTTCCTATTGCTGACATTGCACCAGGCGGGCCCTTCCCTGTGAACCCCAACTTGCTTGCAGTGCTGGCTTATCTGGTGGTTTTCACATGAGAGGTGATGTGTGAGGTGGCTTTGTAGGATGCGACGGGAGGAATGGTTTGGCCTCACTGTGCTCACAGGACCTGAGCTAGGAAGAAGGTTTGAGGCATGCCCATGTGCACTGTGGCTGTGATCAGGGAGCAGCGGGTACGTAGAGTGGGGGAAAGGTGGAAGGCATGCGTGTGTGTGTGTGTGTGTTTGTGTGTGCCTGCATCTGTGCATCTGTAGTGTGTGTGCATGTGCTTGGAGGCACGTATCTGTGGCAGGTGCGTCCGCAGCAGCACAGATTTTTAGTGCGGTCTCGTCTGCCTTGTGTGAGCAGGAAAGTCGTGGAAGGCACTGACGCTGTCCCAGAAGAGGCCCTACGTGGATGAAGCCGAGCGGCTGCGCCTGCAGCACATGCAGGACTACCCCAACTACAAGTACCGGCCCCGCAGGAAGAAGCAGGCCAAGCGCCTCTGCAAGCGCGTGGACCCCAGCTTCCTCCTGAGCTCTCTGTCCCGGGACCAGGAATCCCTGCCTGAGAAGAGGAGCGGCAGCCGGGGGGTGCCGGGGGAGAAGGAGGACAGGGGTGAGTACTCCCCCATCACCGCCCTGCCCAGCCTCCGGGGCTGCTACCATGAGGGATCAGCTGGTGGCGGCGGCACCCCAGGCAGTGTGGACACATATCCGTACGGGCTGCCCACGCCCCCAGAGATGTCTCCGCTGGACGTGCTGGAGCCAGAGCAGACCTTCTTCTCCTCCCCCTGCCAGGAGGAGCAGGCCCACCCCCACCACATCTCCTGCATGCCGAGGCCCCCGTACTCACCAGAGTATGCCCCCAGCTCCCTGCATTGCAGCCGCCCCCTGGGCTCGCTGGCCCTTGGCCAGTCCCTCAGTGTCTCTATGATGTCCACCGTACCTGGCTGCCCACCATCCCCCGCCTATTACTCCCCTGCCACCTACCACCCTCTCCAGTCCAACCTCCATACCCACCTGGGCCAACTCTCCCCGCCTCCGGAACACCCTGGCTTTGATGCCCTGGATCAGCTGAGCCAGGTGGAACTCCTGGGAGACATGGATCGCAATGAATTTGATCAGTATTTGAACACTCCTGGCCACCCAGACTCTGCCGCCAGCACCATGGCCCTCAGCGAGCATGCCCCAGTCTCCCAGGTGACACCAGCGGGCCCCACAGAGACCAGCCTCATCTCAGCCCTTGCTGATGCCACAGCCACGTACTACAACAGCTACAGTGTATCATAGAGCCAGAGGCACCATGTCCAGCCCGGCCCTCATGCCCTCTTGCTCCGTGCCCTGGGAGGAGCAGAGAGCCCTCACAGCTGCCCTGCCCTCGGCCAGGGAGGCCGGACTGCCCGCCCAGAGCCTTCAGCCTAACGCCGGATAGGCTCTGCTGATCTGAGGTCCCCTTCCATGGTCTGCTCCCTGCAGCCTGCATTTTGAGTATATTCCTTCAAATGAGCTATCACTGACTGCATGCTGGGAATAAGGCCACTGAGTGGTTGAGCGATGCCGTCTCCCAGCTGAGAGTTCACTGACCTCTTTTCCTTGTCCCTGTGGTTGACACACATGGTGCAAAGCCCAGCAGCATTTGACCCTCTCCTGGTTTTCATATGGCCAACTGCATCTAGTCTTTAGATCCTCCAGGTGAGAAGAGCCCCAGGCAGGGATCCAGGGGATCTGGGATTCAGTTCCAGTTTCACCATGGACGCTGGGGAAATGCAGACACACCACCACCTCTCCCCATCCAGCCCATTCCCCCATCCATGAAGCGAGGGACAGATTGGTCTCCAAGGTTGCCCTCTGCTCCACGGTTTTCTAAGTTAGGATTCTTTCAAGGCTAACTAAAGGAAAATGGGGAAATGGTGCTCATTAATGAGCTCAGTAACGGGCAACTGGGGGATGATTTTTGTGTGCACAGCCCAAAGACACAACGCTTTCTGCGCTCCCTCCCAACTGACCATAGAATTCCCAAAGGACTCTTCCAGTTTGAGAAAAAGCACTCATCCTGATTTGGGGAATTAACCTGTATGGTTAATTACTTCACTAAAAATAGCATTCAAATTGTTTTCTTAAATACGTTTTTAATATTTCTTTCTTATTGTACACACGCTTCAAGAGGAATTCACAGTCTGGAAGTAGCAGTCATGAGAGGCACCTCACTCTTCATGCACACGCAGGTGCTACAGCCTCAATCAGGGACATTCTCATTAACAATGGCAACTTGTGGCCAACTCCCTTTTCCTAATGACCCACACAGCCAGGGGCCCTGAAAGGACATCTCAAAAAGCAGCATCACTGTCTTTAAATCTGGACGTGCTGGTTTCTTGAGCAAAATTGCAGCACGTTCCCCCCCCCCCCACCGTGTGCATGGAAAATCCGTTTCCTTCCCCAGGCCCTCCAGCTCTCTCTCTCCCTTTCCCAGGATTTCTTTCTCTCTACTTTGCTCTTCCTCCTCGCCTGAATTGGTCTCTAACTCAAAGAGACCCTGACTTAAATTCCCAAGCACAGTTCCTCTGCTGTGATGGGAATTGGTTTCTCTCACGCGCTGGCTGGTCCCTCAAGCAATATTTTTACAATAAATTCCCCAGATCAGAAACTCACTGTGATCCCAAAAGTGTTTCTGACCCTGGCCACCTTTCCATGCTACCCTCCTTTGAAGGAATATACCTAACAGTGAGCTAAGAGACTGTTGTTTGTCTTTTAATTTCAGCATATTGTTGCCTGTATGAAATCTGTGTTTTATGTATTCTGTTATTTTCACCCTATGTTTTGTATTGTTGACAGATCTTTTTATTCCTTCCAAGAAGTCTTATTGTAAAATCACTTATAAGATATGATTAATCTTGATGCTATTACTGTATATGCTATTTGGTAATAAATAGTAGGTTGTTGATGATATGATTGACTGGTTCAGAGCCCAGAATGTGTATTAATAATCTTGTAAAACAGTATCACAGACATTAAGCTAAACTGTTCCATTTTTTTTTGTAAGAATTACACGTGCTTTGGAACGGTTGTACATATTGATTTGTTGAAAATATTTAATTTAAATAAACATTTTTGTACCATGACACCGCTATCCTTTGAAATAGAGTTTTGCAACAAATAGCGTCCCAGTGAGGCATTCTATTCGGTGCTATCTGTAGTACAGTAAAATGTTTTCTGCATCAGTTTTTTTTTTATTTTAAAATGTTCTTATCTTGTAGGGGTGGTTTATTTTATTTTATGAGTTATAGTAAAGAGATAAATCCAAATTTTACACACTGGAATCTGTGTGATCTTTGATGTTGAAAGAGAATACCGACTCACAGCACACCTGAAGAGCGATTTTCTTCTTGAGCTGACTTCACAGCAGAGGCCAGTGAGGTGGCTGGTTGTCAGGCTGTCCGAGGATTGAAAGTAAGTTTCATCCAGTTATTTGTTTACTTAAGGCTACAATACTTTTTTCTTCTTTTTAAGGTAATCTTGAAAAATACCTAATTGGCTCCCTTTGCTGTGTATGTATAAGGTGGTATCACAATCCATTGTGGGCTCTTGAAATTTGAGGGAAGGCAGAAGGGTATGGGGAATAACTAAAGGATGCAACATCTTGAGAGGTTTAGTATTAAAGTTCCAGCCAAAAAGCATCTGGAAAAAATTGATTACTCGGTCCTTGTACAGGTCACCCCCGTCTGGCTTCTGTCCATGGAGTAGTCATCGTAACTTATTCACGTCCAGGGCAGCCTGTGTTTACCCAGGCCCTCTGGGCCAAGGAGTGGCCTTGGGAGGCCCTAAGTGGGCACATATCCATCCTTCAATTCCTATCATAATCTATAGTCCCTACTTTAACAGTGCTTTAGAGGTGTATGGAGCCTTACAGAAAGTTCTATAGGTTACTTCTCATCCACAGCCTCAGGTGGCATCTCCCCACCCCAGTGCATAGCTGGGGTCACTGAGACCCAGGTGGGAGGTGGCAGAGGGCAGGTCACCCCACCTGGCTGGGGGAAGCTGAGTCTCAGCATGTCATCAGATACAATGTGGGAGCGTCAGCCAAACTGTCTCACAGCTAGAGGCAAGTGCCTTTCCCTGAGTGCTTCACCATGGTATGGAGTTAGTTATGTGTGGTCTGCTTCATACCTATCACAGCCCAGGAAAGAATGAAGAGGAAATAACAGGGCCAGAGTTAGATGTAACCGAAGATCTCAATGTTGAGGCCCTGTCACTGCAACCAGCCAGCAGTGTCCATCTGCAGTGTCCTCGGCTGCCTGAGCGATTGTCTGGCAGTGTCTGTCCAGGACATGGGCCCTTGACCATGCCAAGTGGACATGTCTCATTCAGCTCACAGGTGGGGGAGGCGGGCTGCCTCTGGAGGGCAAGGAGCAGGCAGGTGCAGGTCCATCTTGCTCTGTGCTCAGCTAGGAGTGGAACTGTCCGGCCCAGAAGCCAGCAGGCCTTGAAATTCAGCTGCCCGCTCTGGGCGCACCCAGGTGGCATGGAGGCAAGTTCCTGCTCCTGCCCCTGCCCCAGGCCCCTCACTTCTGCAAGGTCATGGGAGGGGCCTCAGCATGTGTTCACATGGTCATTTGTCTTTATAAATTTGCAAAAAGGAAGATATTTTTGTATTTTTTCCTTTAGAAACTTCCCTTCCCCCAGGCAAATGTATACGCCTTAGGCCTCATAACACCTGGCTCAGTCCCCATGGGACTGCCCCTCTGGTTGATCTTTTTTCTGGAAGCCTCTCACCCAGGACCCCTGATCCCACCACAAGGAAAGCCTGGGTCTTTGAAAATACCCTCCCTTCCCCTGCTTCTGTGTTTCCCCAACCTGGGAGACGCTCACTCCCTTCACCTGGCTGCTGCCACCCCACTTCCCGTCCCAGCTCAGTCAGACATGCCCAACCCTTTCCGGCAGGGAGGCAGCCACTCTCCTTCCTGAGCTCCCACTGAACTTCAGTGGGTCCCAGTCACCACATTACTGTCTGGCATTGAACTACTCAGCAGTGCTGACCCATAGAGGCTTCTCAGCAAATAAATGAATGAACAGAAAAACATCTAAGATATCCTGTAGGTATCCTGGTTCATCTTGGTGGTAAAGACCTGAACCCTTCTGGGTCCCTCATTTTATGTCTCATCTCTCTGGAAACCAAGACCCTGGGGCCTTTGTGTGTGTCCTTCTCAGGGCTCTGAGGCTGGGTCTGAGGTGGCCATGACTATCCTCCCGCACCTGCCAGAGTGTAGCCTGGAGGAAACAGGCCAGAGGCGGGCACGAGGACCCAGTGGAGAGCTCCTCTCCCATCTTGCTGCAGCAGAAGGGAGCAGAAGACCATGGATTCTAACGCCGCCCACCTTTCCTTGGGGGGAGGCTGCACCCCTGGTTTCATCCTAGTGAAAGGGGCTTGGAAAGGAAGGAAGGAAGAAGGAGAGAAGAAAAGGGCGAGGTCTATTTCAGTCTATCATTTGCCATCTACCCACCTCCCGTGTCTCTATCTCTCTTTCTTCATATCCATCTACTCATTCACCCTCACACACCTACCTGTCCATCCACCTACCCTGCTTTCTTTCTCTCTTTGTCTTCTTTCCTTCTTTTTCTATCCATCCATCTAACCGTCCACCTACCGACACAATCATTCACAAATCCAGCCACCCTTCCATTCACTTACCCACCCACCTCACTCACCCATCTGTCATCTATCCATCCACCCACTCGTCTATCTATCTATCTGTCTGTCTGTCTATCTATCTATCCATCTATCCATCCATCCACTGATGCTTGAATTCTCAAAAGAGACACACCGTGTTTGCGAGATGCTTAGAAAAAAAAACAGCGAATCATAAAGGAAAAACAATCCAGATATTGCTCATAACTTAGAAACGTGGGTGGTAAATCTTTGGCATGTATCTCTCTAGTCCTTTTTGTGGTCCAGATACAGTACAAACTACGGATGTCTCTTATACCATTGTTATTCATCAGTATTAAATGAACATTTTCCTATATCATTAAATTATATTTGTTTGCAAAAGGTGTTTTCTTCTTAGTGGAAAGTCACTGTGAAAAAAGTTTAGAAAAAAGAAAAGAAAAACCACCCCCTCCATGACCTCAATGTAACTAATTTCCCATCCGAGAACTAACCAGGCCCAGCCTCGCTTAGCTTCTGTGATGGCTGTAACTATTTTCGCTGTGCTCATTTTTGTACCCTGGGCTCCCTAGTCCCGTATCTGTGCACACACTGTTGCACGCGGTGTGATCATAGTGTAGAGGTACTGACAGGTGTGCGTCTGGCTTTATCCTCTCAGC